TTACAGGAGCAGAGAGTCTCCTTCAGAGCAGCTAGTGGATTCAAACTTCTGACCAGCACTTAATCCACAATGCCAGTATGCCATTAAAACTTTCTAAACAAGTGAGTGATGTCATGCAATTGACGGCACATATGTTTCTGTTGTTACATGCCATCAAGTCAGTTCTGACTCACTGTCTCTATAGGGAGGCACAAGGTAGACATTTCCATTTCACTTGGAAGAAATTAGAGAGAATGAAAAGATAGTGGACACCAAACAAATCCGCAACCCAACAGAACAGTTTACATTAGCTCTCAAGGCTTGAAAAGCATCTCCTGTTCGCTGTCCTCCAGACTCAGGGTATTGGCTATGTTCTCTGGATTTTGGGTGGAGCCCCCTCATCCCTGGACTTCAGCTCTGCCTTCCAGTCTGAGACCACAACTCAGCTCCCCGTTTTCCTTGATCATCTGAGTGACAGCCCTACCTTCCTCCCTCCCCAGTCCCCCCAGCTTTGGGCAGTTCCCCAGTCCTCCTATGCAAACTGAATGTCATTACAATCCTCCTATCCAAACTGAATGGCAGTAGTACACTCTGGAACCTAGTTGGTGAAGATCTGATTCTTTGAAACAAGTTATGGTCTCAGAGGCCCCACCCTTTGAGACTGAGGCAGCTTTTACCTGTGCTCCCTCCAACAATTCTGTTGATCTCCAAGCTATTCCAGGGATAGTTATTTTCTTTTGTTGGAAGACAATGGATATAACTCTTTTGGCCTGTTTTCTGACTGTAGAATTCCAAGAGGCAGACTCCATTCTCGCCTTTCATTCTTTCTGGATCTCCTTCAGTCTAAACTGAGATGGGTTTTCTGTTGTTGTAGTTGTTTAGATCCCTCAGTCACAGGCTTAATTTCTTTAACAAAAGTATGTGTAGTCAGGTCATTGGTAAACATTGTAGGACACGCGTGTCCTTTGTTTGTACGGTAGAATTTTCCAAATCATTAAGTTTGTTTTCATTTGGTATGACTCTTTTCCCTCACATTTTACGCAGCAAGGAAATACCATGCGACCCCTTTAAGATCTTACTTAGAGACCCATCAGCCAGATATCTAAGTTCATCACTTAGAAATTATACCTTCCACCAAACATTTGAACATAATTCAGACAAGCTCGTTGACACTGAATAAAAAGCATGTTTGTTTACTTTGAAAGCCTCATCAGAAACACGTTTGACATCCACAGTTCTGGCAATAATCTGCTGCTAGCACCATATGTATTCTCTCAGATAATAATGACTTTCTCATTAGCTCTCCTCGCCTTCTTCTCAGACATCACCAGAATTGGCATCCATAATTCTACCAACAGTCCCTTCAAAGCAATCTAGGTTTTTACTGTTGTTGTTAAGTGCTGTTGAGTTGGTTGCAATTCATAGTGACCCTGTACAGGGTTTCTGAGGCTGTAAATCTTTACGGGAGCAGAGAGCCTCATCTTTCTCCTGTGGAGCAGCTGGTAGTTTAGAACTGCTGACTTTGCAGTTCGCAGCCCAATTCGTAACCACTACGCTACCACCAGAACTTCTTTGTACTAAGTTATAGAATTTAATGATAATTTTCTGGATTTTTGATAAATAGCAGACGTATTTTGATATCTACTTAATTTATATCAAGGCAGTAAAAACTGAATATAAAGCAGCAGCTATCCAAGAGCAGCTCATTAACTATTAACTTTAGGCCATATGGCTAGGGAGTTCTGGTGTGGCACTGTGGATTAATGCGCTGGACTTCAAAGTCACTTTGAACCGCAAGGTCAGCAGTTCAAGCTCACCAGCTGCTCCTTGGAAACCCTATACAGAGTCACTATGGGTCTGAACCATATCGACTGCACTAAACAACATAAACAAGGCTAGTGAGAAGACATGGCTCTGTTAGGAAACCAAGGCCCATTAATATATTGTTAGTAAATAATTCCTAATGACTTAATAAAAGAGGAATAGAATCATTGCACAGTTGGAAACTGATCGACTTAGTATTTAAATCAAACTCAAACTCAGCTGCCACTGATTGATTCTGACTCGTATGTCCCTGTATCGGGTTTCCAAGGCTGTAAGTCTTTATGGGAACAGAAAGCCTTATCGTTCTGTGGCAGAGCTGCTGGTGGGCATAAACTAGTAGTCCAGTGCTTATTTTAGAGTGCCAACAGAGCTTCTTCATATTTCGTGTTCATTTAAATTGGCTTCATTGAACAAATCATACTTAAATGAAACTATAAGATGAGAAACAACTAACATAAGAATGGTTTGGAATAGAACAATCAGTACAGAGAAAAAGCATGCTACATATAAGAAAGGTTAATCGAAGCACACCTGTGGCCTGGAGTGAAATGAAGTGGAGATGAACCTTAAAAGGATTCAAGTAGTAGAGCCTAAAGGAGTTCAGAGTTTGTTTAAACTGCAGTGATGTTGTTCATTGCTATCAGGTTGGCTCTAACTCAAGGTGACATTTTTCTGATGTTTGTTTTCTTGGTGGAATACGAGGCAAAGAGCATCAGCTAAAAGAGGGATGGGAATGTAGCTGAGAAATTTGAGGAAATGAGGATAATACTCAGCAGTTAGTGTGGAAAGTAAGTGAACTTTCTATGAAATGTCCTATTGGAGTCCAGATGTGGTGCTGTAGGATGAACACTGGACTGCACCGTCGATTTGAACTGCAAGGTCGGTGGTTCAGACTTCCAGCCAATCCTCAGAAATCCTATACTGGGTCACTATGAGTTGGAACCAACTCGATGGCACTTAACAACAACAGTTGTGTCCAAAGTTGTTGTTGTTGTTGTTAAGTGCCATCGAGTCGGGTCCGACCCATAGCGACCCTGTACAGGGTTTCCGAGGGTGTAAATCTTTACGGGA